TGTTGAGGGCCATTGAATGTAATAAACAAATTTGAAGCTCCTTGGATGAGTAGTAGGAAGAGTAATAATAATTAACAGTAATAATAATAAATACATTTATGGGCACTAACCTAAGAATCACACTTCTATTGTTATATATATTCCCACCACAATTCATGTGATTGGTACTATTAATCACTATTTTACAATTGAAGGTCAGAAATGAGAACACACATGTCATCTGTGGAAGAGCCTGCTTTGTCAACAGGAAGCTAATGCATATCAGAAACCATATATCAGTGATTTAAAAAATATTTTATTGAAATTATTGTGGCGACATTGGTTAATGAGATTATACATGTTTCAAGTGTACAATTCTATAATATGTCATTTGTAGATTACATTGTGTGTCACCACCTGAAGTCATCTCCTTCTGTATCCATTCATCCTGCCTACTCTCTTTACCTGCTTCTTCCACCTCCCTTTCCCTCTGGCAGTCACTAGACTGCTGTCTGCAGCTATGCTTTTTGTCTCTTTGTTTTTGCTTAGTCAATGATTTTTAAAGTGTGTTGAAAGAGCTAAATCAACTAATATGCTAAGTGTCCTACAGTTCCATAGTTCAACTGGTAGCTATGACCCACACTGACCACCAGGGGCAAATGCTCAACTCATAGGCATGGAAATATGGAACAGACTGATGAATCTCAGAGGGAAAGGGAGCAGGGAGGGTTGGAAGAGATTAACCAAAGATTTTATATTTCTGCACTGGTTGGGATTCCTCAGCATGGCCTGTGGAGATTGGGCCAGATCTGTGCACCAGGCCTTCTACATCCCCTGACAGGTCCCAAATTGTGAGAGGGTGCAGGCCAAGCTGAGGTACACCACAAGTGCATGAATCTGTGCACAAAGCCTCTAGTTTTCAAATAAGATGTTTCTGTAGGTAGTTGATATTTGTAAGATACCTGTGGTTTCTCATGGTGGTGGTACATACTCTGTGGAGAAAACTTGTAATTCTTGATTGGTTGTAACATTTATATGTTAACAGAAAAGGTTGGAAAGAATGAGGAACAGAATAGAGGCCATCCTCATGGTAGGGCCTTGGTCACACCCTCCTTCCACGCCCTCTGTGGAGCCACATTCATTGTCAAGTCTGTCTTCCATATCATTGCTCAGCTTAGCACATACCACAGTCCCCTCACCTTGTTCCATATGAATAGAATGCAGCAGTAACCTAAAAACTGAATAAAATGTATTAGGAAATGCACTATGTCTTTAATAAAATAGAGTTTACTGAGTTTTGGGAAGCATTCAACAAAAAATTACTTGTGCTTTTCTTATTTTTTTGCAAACTATTTCTTAGCTAGTTTATGTTAAAATACTCTGCCTAGAATGTTTTTATGAGACTTTTAAGAATCTCAGCTTAGGTAAAGAATTTGGCATTTCCAGGCATAGAGACTTTGATTTTAATCTCAACTTTGCCAAATGATCCTCTGTACATCTTCTAACTTTTAACAGTGTCAGTATGTCCATCTATAAATTTTGAATGATAATAGAATATAAATGAAATAAATTTTAAGGGAATAGTAATTATATTGTAAAAACAAGTAGGGTAGTTAAATTTAACAGACAGTGAATATTGAGTACTTGAAGCTTTTAATTATTTTAGCAAGCAACTTCTCCCTATCACATTCTCCCTTAACAAGATTATAAAAATAATTTGGAACCATCCTAAATTTGTTTGCCTATCTCTACACTAGTAAGAATCTGAGAAACCATTATATCAGGCCTCATACTGAGAGTACTTTCTCCTGTGATGATTTCATGTTCTCTTTCTATTAAGAAACATCTCAAAGTTTTCATAATTATTATACACCTATAAGAAATACACTTCCTCAGAAATAAGACTTTATTTAAAACAGTTCTTTCTTTAAGGAGAGAATGTCATTTTCTGGTATTTCCCCTGATTCATCCATGTGCCTATTCTTGTACCTGGAGCTTGTATTCATTGAGTCATCATAGTGATGACCTTCAATGATCTTGCCAGCTTTCTGGGCTTCTTTCTCACTGGGTTCAGGGTATGAGGTCTGGTGCTGTTAACTTACACCCTCAAGATATAACAACAATGCCATGTCACTTTCCACTGCTTCCAAATCCTATAAAGCAAAATGTTATGCGGGAGTATACTTTCTTTTTGCCTCCTCCTCTGCATACTTCTGCTCTGTAATTTTATCCCTGATAACTGTCAATCTCCAGCTACCATGCATTCTGAATTATAGCTGGTTACATTGAAGTTTTGAGCCATTCAGCAAGTAGCACCCAGTCTTAAAGCTTCTTGATCTGGAAGACTATTGCATAACACTGTCCAATAAATCTTTTATGAGATAATGACATTTAAGGTTATGATAAGAAATAAACCTATGAATTTTTCCAGAAGTAAGTAACGACTATGCACTAGCATTTCAGGACATCTGGGGAGTTATCACAGAATCCCAGCTCTGGAGTGGTGGGGAGAATAATGACCCACAAAGACATCCAAGCCCTAACTCTCTGAACCTGTGAATGTGTTAAGCCAAGGGTTTAAGAGGAGTTAAGTTTGCAAACAAACTTACTGCTGCTAAACAGCTGGCCTTAAAATGGGGTAATCATCCAAGATTATCTGGGTGATCCCAATGTAATTGCTATGGTCCTTAAAAGAAGAAGAGGGGGCAAAATAAGAGAATTATAAGTAGATGTAACGGAAGGAAGGCACAACAAATAGAACTTTGCTGGCTCTGAAGGTAAAAAAAAGGCAGCTGTAAGCCAAGGAATATGGTGACTTTATGATCCAGAAAAAAGCAAAGAAATGCATTTCCCCCTGGAACCTCTAGAATAAATGTAGCCTGTAGCACCTTGGTTTTAGTCCAGTAAGACCCATTTAAAGACTTCTACAGAATGTAAGATCGTAAGGTGTGCTGTTTCATGCTGTTCAGTTTAAGTTTATGGTAACTTGTTACCTGGCCATATAACAATTCACAGGGCTTGTTTTCCTTTTCTGTGAGAAGGATGACAAGCTAATGAGGTTTGCATGTGGGTACTGCAAATACTGGGAGATCACTTTGTAAAGTATATGGTTGTTTAACCACTATTCTGTGCTTAAAGGGGGAGAGTATAAAGAGAGTAAATCTAAAAAAGAATTAAAGGATGTTAATTTCCCATTTACTTCCATGTTCTAGTGCATCTTTTCCTAAATGCTGCCAACAAAATGCTTGCTTAGAGGTCATGGAAGCACTCTTTGACTGTTTATGAATTGAAATGTTATAATCTATACTGATAGAGAGGAAAGTCTCTCCACTCTTCCAAAAAATAAATCCTCATAACATTCTTTCTCATCATTGATGTATCTCTCTCTCCTTCTACTTTCCTCTCTGAAATCAATAAAATGTATTTTAAAAAAATAAATTATCATAATAAAATGTTTGAAACATCTGATAGTGTCAAAACTATTACACCTCAACGGGGGAAAGTGGCTCATTGTGTATTATAGTTTTACATGATTCCATCATAGCAATTTATTCAAATGATTTCTGTTAAAAAGAATAGGCCACTGAGTAATCTTAATACAAACATTGAAGAAAATGAGACAATTGGTCTTCCTTTGAGTCACAAATGTTTGCCTCTTCTTCTTTTATAAAGACTCAAAGATACTTTGGGAGGTTGAATGCTGTTTTAGAAAGCCAGGTTCACAATGAATACCATGGACAGAACTAAACAGGTGAAAGTCTTAAACAGAAGGTTTATCTACACAGGCCTCTTAGCACATTTGAAGGTCATAAACTTCTAGGAAGACATTTTGACTTATAATCTCTCCGTCTGCCTTTTTTCACTTAATTTTCTTCAATATGTTTGAGTTAAGTGTTGTAATGAGCATTGTATCAAAAGTATGTTTCAACTAATTACTGGCTTTTATTGATAAGTGGTGATGGGCATATGGTATACATTCTATAAAACATCTAGAGGATAGGAGAGATTTATTGTCTTTCTTACAGCTTATAAAATATGTGAATAAAAATTGAAAGTTTGAAACATTTTCTCAAAGCAGAGATGGCCCTAGCATTTTTTAAATGATCTGTCATTGATATATTGATGCTTTAGTGGAAGAAGTGTTTGGGGAGAGGACATAGAAAGAGATAGGGGGTGATTTCCCTAATTCAAAAATAAGGTAATATCTGTGATTTTATTTTATTTTATTTTTAACATTTTAAAAATATATTTTATTGTTTTTTTACAGAGAGGAAGGGAGAGAGAGAGTCAGAAACGTCAATGAGAGAGAAACATCGACTAGCTGCCTCTTGCACACCGCCTACCGGGGATGTGCCCACAACCAAGGTACATGCCCTTGACTGGAATCAAACCCGAGACCTTTCAGTCCACAGGCTGACACTCTACCACTGTGCCAAACTGGTTTTGGCAATATCTGTGATTTTAGACATTATTTAAAATAAAATAAAATGGTTGCCAGAGAAAGGATGGCTGGGGGTTGGGTAAAACAAAAGGTAAAGGGTTTAAGCAAATTAGCAGTCACAAAATATTTGGGGATGTAAAGTACAGCATAGGGTATATTATCAAATACACACACACACACACACACACACACACACACACTCACACTAGAGGCTCAGTGCAGGAAAATCATGCATGGGTAGGGTGCCCAGGCCTGGCTTCTGGCTGCCACCTGCTGGCCAGGGCCTCCCTTCATTCCCCTGCTTCCCCCTGGTGGTCAGCACACATCATAGCAAGCGATTGAACTCCCAATATCTAGGTCAAACTGCATATTAGCCTTTTATATGTATGGATTGTTCCAGATGGGTATTGCAAATACTGAGGAGATCACTGTAAAGTATATGATTTTTTAACCACTATGCTGTACACCTGAAGCTAAAACAAAATAATTATAAATATAAAATATAAACAATAAAGTTTTTTTTTTTTTAAATATATAGAGCATAGTTTGGAAAGAAAGGTGCTTGTCTTTCATGTTGCAGATAATGCCGAATTAGATTCTGAAGTCGCAACAGCAAACAGCCTGGGTTTTGTTGGGTGCCTGTCTTCGGTCCAGTATAACCACATAGCTCCTCTGAAGGCAGCTCTGCGCCACACGACCATCGCACCGGTGATCATTCGAGGAGCCCTGACAGAAGCCAGCTGTGGCTCTGGGACCGATTCAGATGCGAATGCAGTGACTACGGTGCACTCTTCCTCAGGTACACAGGAGAATTCCCAATGGAACTTATATCAGTAGCACTACTTTTGATGTCTTCAAAAACTTCCAGGTTAAAGATTAATATTACTCAGTTCCTTATCTGAGTGGTTAAAAAGTATAATTGACTTTTCATGGGTAATTTCCATATGTGTTAATATAGTCCTACTTTTAATACAATGAGTATTAGAACTAAAACCATGTTTGCATATATAACTGTATAGACATATACTAGTTACTACTGTTCAAATGGTTTCTTCTCTAAGGATTAAAGAGTTTGGAGCTCAGAAAGGCAAGCTGGCTGTTGACTAATACAAGTTATGTGATTAAAACCTACTTTTTTAATATAGGAAAGCCCCACAGCACGTGTTTTACACTCTGTAAGGCACCTATTTTATCTTATCATGTTCCTGATCATCCTTGATGTCTTGAAGTATTTGTTTTAATCTAGCGTGGTAATCAATGCTGAATAAGCTATTAAATATCAGCACAGAAAAGACTAAGTTTTGCTGCCTGCAAACTCTGATCTTGGCATTTTCCTGCAGCAATGAGGTGCAATAGAAAGAACCCAAATGTGAAGGTTGGCCAGCCTTGCTTTAATTCCAAATCTTCCATGAATGAACTTTAGGACTCTGGACAAGTTCATTACTTGTATCACTGTAATTAATGTCATTATCAGTGAAACAAGAAAAATAAAGAGTATTCAGGCTATAGTCTTTTCCTAAGGAATAAGTGATCACAGGGACAGGTGCTGCCAGCCCTGGAAATCTCACATGAACTCTGTGTGTGTGTATGAGTGTCATTAATGCACTTGCAGATTATGTGAATTTATCTAGCTCAATATCACCAAACTGTGACTCAGAGCCACATATATGTGCTCTTAAATGCAAGGCACTTTTCCTTATCCCATGTACGCTAACACTCTCCTTACTGAGGGTTTGAGACATTAATTCTTCAGCACTTTTGTCCTTCCCTGTCCAGGGGCTCAGTGTCCTCTTGCAGCAGGAGCAGGGGCATGTGTGCTTGAGGTGAGAAGTCGTGCATAGAAACTGCCCAGCCAAGCACAGAGGGTAGGCCAGGAGGGAAGCAGTAGGACACAGCACACATGGGCAGGGTACTGCCATCACCTGTCTTAACCACAGACCTTACAAATTACAGAAGCTTACCGGGTCATGCTACTATGGGTGTTAAGTAATGTGTTTCAAATGCTTTTTTTGTGAATGTTTGCTTGATTTTTTCCCCTCAAAATCTCAAATCACCACCATTTGGGAACAACCGGTCTCAACCTCAGGTGTGTGATCCCAACTCCGCGCAATAGTCCTCCTCCCAGGCCTTTCAGCATGGAGTGACAGCTCCTGTTTCTTGCTTCTTTCAGACCCATTTGGAAAGAGAGATGAGCGGGAACCACTCACCAATGCAATTCAGAGTGACTCGGCTGTCATTGGAGGTAAACCATTACTTGTTGATGAAAACAGAAAAGGCACAAGTAATTCAGTCCTTTGGAGAAGTGTGTCTGAACCTTTCTTAATGCCATCAGCACCCATGACCCCACGGTCCCTGCCAGTCCATGAGCCTTTTCACAAACAGTTCTGTGTGCTGTACGGTGCCAGCAGCTCCATGGATACACCATGGATGCACCCCGCCCCGATCCTCAGGCAGCTGACTACTGACTCAGCAGCTGGATAATTTACTGAGAGACAGGCAGCGTGCATTGCATTCATCTCATCCAGGTGTCTATTTTCCTGAAGCACAAGCCAAGCAAACCAGTAAAATTGCATATGGGAGAGGGCCATACTGGGGCAGACAGATGGGGGAAGCTGCATCCTGTTGGGTTTGCTCCATAAGTGGTTTGGGTTGGATCTAATGAGCAGGGAGTGAAGCCCTCAGCCTGTAGTTTTGATCCAGTAGCACATGGTACAGATGCAGATCTTGGCTGCTCTGAGGTGAGCTCAGCTCCCCCTCTCCCGTGGAGTCCCATGGTCTCACTGCCTGCTGGCCTCCCAGCCCCTTTCATTCCCTCAGCTTGCTTCAGCCTCCGGGAGTCTTGATTTTTCCATCTGGGTCTTGCAACACAGATTGCCTCCCAAACCTGTTCAATGACAGATGCCTGTGAGGTGCTAAATCCATTTCCATCTGAGGACCACAGCATAGCCTGGTCCCATCCCCGCCTCTGGCAGTTAGGTGGGGTCCTTTCTGAAGATGGCAGCAGCCACTGATTTAACTTCAAGTTAATGAGCTCCAACCTTGGTCAGGGCTTGTGCTCAGGATAGAAATAGAGGGTGAAAGCTATGGGCATTGCTCGCAAAGAACCCATGGTCTGGTCGGGGACAGGCCGGGCAAACAGACAGCACAGAGGCCAGGAGCAGTGCTCTGAGGGGACTGCTAACCCTGCGGGAGTACAAAGGTGCAGCCTGGCAGGGGATGGTGAGGAAAGAAAAGCTGCCTCCTTAAGGAAGTTCCTAACATGTCTGATATGAATTTCTGCTTCAGGAAAGAGTCCAACTTGATTTTATTTGGCAATAAGGAACATTAGTGCCTGTTTTTCTTCCTGTGATTAATTTCTCATTTAGCAAGTGAGAAAAAACCTATGTTACTGCTCCCTTTTCCCCACCTATGTCCTCTTCTGCAAGTACCAACAAGAGCAGGAAAGTTTTCTCATCCTTAGGGGACACTGCGAGGACAGCACAGCCTCCCACCCTCTATTTCCTGGGAGTCACCCACCACCCAGTCAATCATAAGTTTGGTAGCTTAGGAGGTTTCACCCTGTCTGGTTTTAAAGAGTGGCAGATATGTTACATAATGCTTTGTTTTAAAAGGTAAGCTGTCTTAGTTAGGGCCTCAGCTCTGAAAAAATCCACAAGGGATACACATTTAATGTATTTAACTCTCTAAGATTCCTGTTTACATAAATCATAATGCAGGGTGCTCAAAAGTAGCTTTGTGAAATACACATATTTTACCAATATCCATCCTGCTTAAAAGAAAACAGAAGATTGCATACTAATATCTCAACAATATTAGTAATAACTTATCTTTGAAAATAGTAAATAGTTTTCAAATGTTAATGTTGAGAAACTTTCATTCCCGTGCAGACATAGCCTTTTTTTAAAAGTGGCAGTGTCCACATTTTTAATATCCCTTTGCTGACTTTGCTCTTCATATCCCAAGAGCCTTCCTGGCAAAGATAGAAATAAGACCTTAGAGGTCAGCAAAGGGCGATTTGCCAAGTAGGTCCAGCAAAATCACAAACAAGCAAAGTAGGAGGAATCTGACACAATTGGGCAGAAACTTGCATTTCAGCTGGCTTTGCGTTTCCGAAGGACAGGCATACTGTCTCTTGCTGGCCTGGTCTGGAAGCAGTAGGAAGTTTGGGAATGTCCTAAATGTTTGGGAAGCATTTTGTTATTAATCAAACTTTTTAGCAAAGTAAACATATACCTCACCACATTTACATTGGTAGAGCATTATTGTGATGTGAGATAGTCAAATATTATTTCCTGGGATGCAAAAGTAGTTATAAAATCCTTATTTGCAAGGTTATAAAAATATGCTAATTGCAACTGATTCTGACACATTCTTTAAAGAGAATCTTGAAGAAATTTATTAATATATTTTGCTAGTGTCATTACATATTTATTTTATAGCAATCTTAGTCCATTCAATGCAACCTCTGATGTCAACTGGCTTTCTCCCCATTCTGGAAGAGGTTGCTTTTTATAGTTGAAGACTGAGGGTGTTTCAGGTGGTCTTTGTTTCTGGGCATGTGGCAGAGCTTTATTGTTGTTTTGCTTTATTTTCTTTTGTTTCCCCCTAAGCAGCTTCCTTGTCTGGACCAAATCCTCTCTAGAGTGGCTGAGTGTGACAATGTTTTCTCTCCTCGCCCCTTTTTCCACAGGAGTCATCGCAGTGGTGATATTCATCATCTTCTCAGTGGTCGGCATCATGGCACGGTTCCTCTACCAGCACAAGCAGTCACATCGCACCAGCCAGATAAAGGAAAAGGAGTATCCAGCGAACGTGGACAGTTCCTTCAGAAATGACATTGACTTGCAAAATACAGTGAGCGAGTGCAAGCGGGAATATTTCATTTGAAAATCTACAGGGTCAAGAAAACTCTTGTTTAATTTTTTCTTTTCCTTTTTCTCTGTCTCTTAATTCTGTCCTTTTCTTTTTCTTATTTGTTCCTCCTTTATTTTCGGGTCATACCTGCATCAACCATGGCATTCCCCCCGAACCAGCCCAGAAGACCAGGCAGCTATGGCCACTGTCTTCCTTTGACAAACCTATTGTGTTGGTAATGATCACTCGAGACTGACTTTACTTCTAGACAAGGGGAGACACATGTGCAATGAGCATATGCAGTTCTGTATTCCAGTTTCTCAGATGCACCTTCAGGCTTGCTTTGAACCTGAGGTTGACTTAGCTGTGTGTCAGTCATCTTTGATGTCCTCCCCATCTCAAGTCTGTTCCGACCAGGGAACTAAGGGTAGGAAAGAAGATGCTAGAGACCTGATATCTTTCAGTGCCATTTTAAAAGGAATAACAGAGGATTATTTTGTGTTAACACTTATACCACAGGGATCCCATTGACCTAACTCATAACCTTTTTTCACTCTGACTCTTATCCTCTGAGCATTTTAAACACAGGCGCCCTGATGGCAGTGAGCTGTCCTTGTGCTCCTGCCTTACCACTCCCTCCAGGGCTGACATGCTGAGCAGCACACTCCAGTGGCTGGAGTCCAGCCCAGCATTAGAGGAAGCATGGGTAGTGGCATAGGAGGAGAAAGTAGATGTTCCATAGCTTCAAAATGCCTCCGCCAACTTCATAAGGAACATTAGCTAGGTTATTAGCTGGAATTATTATACATATATATGAAACATAAAACATTCAAATAACAGTTCAAATTGGTTCCTTGAACAAGCTTAACCCACCTTAATGTAGCTTTAAAGAAAAGACCACACAAAAGAAGAAAAATACCAACCAAACACAATTCTCCATCCACTCACTAGACATCTGGTGAAGAAAGGAGATGCAGGTTGTATATTTCAGAGCAGACATGACTCACCTGTCCATCGAGCCAGCTCGTAGGAGGTTCAGGATGCACTGGCATTTGAGGCAGGTTAGCTACAGAAAATCCCCCCTGCTAACCTTCGGAGGAGCCCATAGCTCTGGAGCATATCACATTATCAAATCTGCACACGTGCACACTCACACACACACATACACATGTCTTCTTATAGGCATAATATGCTAGACAAGGTGGTGACAGATTTCCTAGTCTTTGCCCCTTTGATGACAAAGCATCGAAGAAACTCAATCATTCTTTTGAGAAGGCATCTTGAGCTCAGTCACCAGGTGGAGGTAGGAATGCTGGGATCTTGCTGCAGCAATATCCCTCACCCTTTGCCTCTAGGCCGACTTGGAGAAAAACATAAGGGGAAGCAATATAAATGCCCCAGCATGTGGGCAAGCCCATATGATGCTCCACAGAAGTGGAACATTCTTGCTCCTTCTCTAAACAAGGCTAATTCTGTTGGGGAAACACTCACCACATCACTGTTCCCAGCCTTGACAATGAGATTCCCTCTTGTTCCCAATAAGCATAACAGAATTAAGGCAGTCCTGCCTGAGGAGGCTCCCAGCGAGGCACGCTCTGGCTTCTTTCGGACTTTTCGGGCTCTGCTTTCAGAGAACATGGTGTAAGGACTTACTTTGTAATCTATTTCTCAATTTTAAGATGTTCTAATTACACAGGCTCTCCTTGAAATTTTCTCTGAATTGTTAATCATTTCATCACTTCTATTATATATTTTTGCTAGTAAATTTGTTTAATGTGATTCTAACAAAGGCACTATTTTGCCCCCTTCTCCTTTAATAAGATGAATGATCTATTAATAGGAGGAAAGATCTTTAAATACTGTTGTTTTTTTCCCTGCCTGTCCTTTCCTATTTCCACTTTTGATTTTGAGTTTTCTATTTCTATAAAAAGTCTGTATAAATCGGCCATTTGCTGGGCTATGCAGTGCTTTGTCCCTGGAGATAAAAGTGTCCATGGAATGTAGTGGCTTTAGCCTGAAGCCTCTCTGATAATGAAATGGAAAGGAAAAGGAAGGTGTGAGTAATAAAGCTGGGAAAACAAGGATGGTATTTTGCTGATACAGGGCTTACGGAAGAAGTGGAGGACTAGACAGGCCAATGTAGAGTAGTTGCTTTTCTCCTCTGCATATATATGACCGTAGGCCATTGCAATGCTCCTTCTTGCCTCTGAGAACCTGCCAGTGGACCTCCATGCATATGGAGCCTCTCTATACCACATACTCCATATCCTAGGCCTGCAAACAAATGACAAGACAGCGCACTCTGCATGCTACTCTTAGAAGAGAGTCTCGGGGCCGCAGTGGGAAATAATTTTACAGGGTGCGATTATTTCATAAACTCAGCAAACCTCCTTTTACTGGATGCATATGACAGCAAGTGAGCTGCCTCCTCCAAAGAAAACTCAATTTTCAGTTAGAAATAGTGCCAACTTTGCCTCTCTTTTCTCAGTGATACCACAATCCATGTTGGTTGTGCAGTTTCTTAATTGTGTGAGTTTTTCAATCTTTGAACAATTATACTTTAAAAACGATTTTGAAATATTTCTTATCCCTCCTTTACCACCCTTCCTGCTTCAGTAATCACATTTTCTGAAAGCCTGCTCTGGCCAACGGGACTATCATACATTTCCACTTTAATCTTCAGTCTTTGTTAACTGCTGTTTACATGAAAAAGTAATCAAATATGGTCACCGTACAGTAAAACCAAAAATATCTGTGTAATTTTACATTCTAAGGGGGCTATTTCATTGATATCCTTCCACCAAACAAATGCATTTATGCAAGCAATAGTGCATCTGTTTACCATATAACATATTTAACACCCACTGCATCATCCATTGTATCAGTTAGCTAGATTGCCACTGTTTCTATGAGAATTCATCTGGAGAATTAGAGACATGTCTCTTTTCTAGATATATTTTTATGAACAACTTAGCCTCTTCTATTCACTCTCAACTGCAATGAGAGATTTATCCTAAGGATCCTGGGGCAGCTTTTTAAAATAGGTAATATTCTCTTTAATATTAGCAGGCATGGTAATAAGCCAACTTCTCCCTGTTGCCACCATAAAAGCAGGGCCAGAACAAAATAACTAGATTGCTCCCCTCTTCCTTTCTTCACTCATGAGGTATTTACTCAGTGCTCAGTACCCCAGTGACTGTGCTAGATTTTGGGTGTGAAATATAAATTACACCTTGTGTTTACCTGAAGTCTAACACATTTGGTTGCAACGGGCATATCTTGTTATAGTAGGGTATGCATAAAGTGCTGTAGAATGTAGAACAAAGGTACTGCACAATTATTTTTGTGAAACCCTTGCTAGAGACTTAAAAAAAAACAAACAGGCAAATTTTTGGAAAATATTTGTAGTCCTTTTTCTTGTTTATTACTTTCACCTTCAATAAGCGCTTTTTCTCCTCCTCAAAGCAAATGCTTATTGATGCAGAAATGTTCCTGCAGGGGAAGGCAGAGTGAGCCTTTAGGGGCAGCAGGAGTAATTGTCCCTGCTCTAAAGTATATCTGGAGGCTGAATTCTCCTTATTCACTTATGGTTTGGGATTCTGAAAAGCCCCTTCCCATCAACTAGCCCAATGTGACAATTTAGGAACCTCTTCTCCACCTCTGCTCCCTCCTCCTCTTTTATTAATTCTTCTTTAACATACAGTAGGACCTATTGCATGCAATTGCTTTCCTAGATGTTCTTAGGGGTCTTTGTTGTACTCAAACTCCTCCTAGAACTCTCTTTTGTCCTGATGAGATCTCTGAGAACCAGAAGATGTGTATCTTTGAGAAAATTGCTAACCAAATGTTGTTGGCCATTTAAGAGAGGTCTCAGGTCTGTGCTCTGGCTGCATTTTTTCAATCCTGAAAGTCACACGTCTCCTCAGCAGAAAGCTCATTCAGTTAGAGGAGTAGTATAGGGAGCTATAAGCAAAGAATCTTTTCCAAGATGTTCAGAGTGATAGGAATCAGGCCATTGGAATTATCCTATATAATAAAAGCCTAATATGCTAAGTTGTCCATTCAACCAATCAAAGCATAATATCCTAACGATATGCTAAGGCTACTCAGCCACTTGCTATGCTATACACTGACCACCAGGGGGCAGATGCTCCAATTGATAGGTTAGCTTGCTGCTTGGGTCCAGCTTATCAGGACTGAATGAGATAGGCCAGACATGTGCTGGAGCCCTCCCATGGCCTCTCCCCACCTGGCCAACCTTCTGTGTCCCTCCCTGGCCCCAATCATGCACCAGTGGGGACCCTCTGCCTGGCCTGGGCCCTCTCGCAATCTGGGACCCTCAGGGGACATGGGAGAGCTGGGTTCAGCCTGATTCCACAGGCCAGGTCAAGAGACCCCACTGGTGCACAAATTCATGCACTGGGCCTCTAGTTTCTTACAAAAAGGACTGACAATTTGATCACCAACACCTGGGCTTCCTTTGAATTCTCCCATAGCTACAGTCTAACAAAACCCCTGGTAACACCAGCCTGAACAGGGGAATTTAAGATGCACTTTCCCTTAACCTAAGTGATTGGACACATTTAGTCTTAAATTGTCCTAACAGTCACAAGTTGACCCATTAAATAAAGAGGGCCCCTTTTTCCTGCGGATGCAAAAGGCGATTAATGGAAAAAGTTGAAACCAAACTCCAAACTTTCAGAATATCTTGAGCACAGCTGAGTGCTGTTTCATGTTCCTCAAGCAGTTTGAAAATGTTTTCTCTAAAAGACACAAAGTGTAATTGAATTACTTCCATACACTGCCCTTTAGTTGTTCTTAACATCTCCTGCTATTCCCTCACCCACACACTTGGTAAACCATCTAGTTTTTAGATATGGTTGTCCTTGGTTTTATCACGTTTTCATAAATTCCTAGAAAGGATAAAAATGCAAGTACACACATATACAAACCCTTAGTGAAAATAGAGCTGTTGTTGTCGCTTTCTTCAGGACATTCTATACACGAATCTGTTTAATAGGGAAAGACACACA